AATGTTAGTCCCTTCCGATGTATTAGTAGTATGTTTAAAAAGTAGCTACTTAGGAAACTTGGAATGTATTGACTAGTTACATGGGAAATATAGTAGTAAAACATTAACTAGCTGTATCCTAACCTAACTGGAACTCTTAATTAACCAAAATGTTTAGAATTTTGAGATAGTAAACACTTTTTAAAAGCCCGTGAAGAATTTAATACTAAAATAAAATTTCTAACAAATGATTAGGACTCGCTACCTGTTTAATGCAATTTCCTAGTTTATTTTTATCTTCTTTGAAAAAAGGAGAGTCATCAATTAGAAGGATCATCCTAGGGTATTAAAAAGTCCAGAATAATTAAAGACTTGTTAAACATACTGTTTCCAACTGACAAAGGCAATTAAGTAGAACGTTACACATATTTTACATAGTCAAAACCTGTGAACCATATCACTATCCAAACACCATTTATGTTTTGTCGCTTTTTAAAAGGTTAACTTTCAGATAATCACGGTCCCTGTGTGGGGCTGGGAAGTGGCAAGAGCTGAGGTTAGAAGGCCTGGGAGGAGCTAGGTCGTGAAGGGCTAAGGACCCAGAAAGGAAGAGCAGCGCCACTACAGGCATTTAAGAACGGAGCCATGATGAACTCGACTGTCACCTGGAAGATGGAGTGGGGAGGGACAAAGGTTGGAATCTTAGTGAGAAGTGGTGAGGATCTGACCCGAAGCAGTGGCAGCAGGGAAGAAGGTGGAGGGGAAGAGGGACAGATTGAGAGATAAAAAAAGGGTAGACTTGACAGGATTGGGTGGCTGATTGGATGTGATAGACGAGAAAGAAAGATAATTCCCAGTTGCTGGCTTGAGCATCTGAGTAGATGGTGATGCTGTTTATGGTCTTAGGTCATATATGACAGGAACAAGGGTTCTGGAAGAATGATAGGAGGGGCCTGGGAAGATGATCAGTGTTAGACATGTTGGGTATATATGTGTAGGATGTGTTACCAGGGATATCTTTTAGGCATTTAGGCAGTTGGATATAAATGTTTAGGGCACAAGAAAGATCTGCGTGAGGATAGAGATTTGGAAATTAATAGCATGTGACTTGTAATTGCAGTTGTGGAATTAGATACAATTATTCAGAGAGTCAGAGGAGAGGGGAAGAGGTCCAAAGGGAGGACCTCGAGTCACAACAGATAGAAGAGAAGGGTAGAAAAAGAAGAATCATTTAAAGATTTGGAAGGAACAGCCAGAAGAATAGAAGAAAAGCCAAGAAAATACGGTATGATGGAATTTAAAAGGAAGACCATATCAAGAAGATTTTGAAGGGAAAGAGGGAGTGGTCATTAATATCTGATGAGTCAGAGAAATAAGGGAAGGCAAAAACTGGAAAATATCCATCTGCTTTAGGAACAAGTGTGTTGACGTTGACCTTGAGGAGAGCAGTTGGAGTGGAGTGATAGAGCAGGAGCCGAGTGGCAGGGCAGTGGGAAGTGGGGGACAACTCTTTCTAGAAGTTTGGTGGTGAAAGAGAAGTAGTAAGTCGAGGTGGGTATAGGGTCAGGATAAGATGGGAGGGACTTAATCACATCTAAATGTGGATGAGCAGAAGCCATAACAGAGCGAGAGGTTGAAGATGCAGGAGAAAGAAGGGGCAACTGATAGAGTGGAGGAGGTGAGAGGGGTTGTGCTATAAAACGTGGAGGGATTAGCCTTAGAAAGAGGGACATCTCTTCTCTTACGACAGAAAGAATGGATGAGTGTATATAGAACCAACTTGTGTTGTAACTCTTATTTTTGTGCTGAGAAAGGCTCTTAATGAAGTAGAGGATGGGGAAGAAGAAGAAACTATTAATAGCCTATCAGAAGCAAGTGAGAATGAATTGGATAACTCTCTAAACTCTCAGTCTCACACGAATACAGACAGGTATGTACATATGTCATAAATGTCTACAACACTTGCCTTTTTTTTCTATGCCCATTTTTTTCCAGTGAGATACTGATATGTAATATTGTCTAAGTTTAAGGTACATAACTTGTTGATTTGATACATTTATATATGCAAAATGACTTACCATAGCATTATCTAATACTTCCTTCACATCATATAATTATCATTTTTTTGTCATGAGAACATTTAAGATTTATTCACTTAGCAACTTTCAAGTATATAATACAATATTATTAGCTATAATCACCGTGCTGTGCATTAGATCCCTAGAAGTTATGAAGTTATTCATTTTATTACTAGAAGTCTGTACCTTTTTACCATCTCCCCATTTCCTCTACCCACCCCACCCCCCCAAACTTTGTTTCTGTGAGTTTGGCTTTTTTAGATTCCACATGTAAGTGATACAGCATTTTTCTTTCTCTGCCTGACTTATTTCACTTAAACATAATACCCCCAAGGTTCATCCACATTGTCACAAATGGTAGGATTTCCTTTTTCTCATGGCTGGATAATATTCCATAGTGTGTGTGTATGTACGTATCTATCATCTATCTATTTATCTATCTATCTATCTATCTATCTATCTATCTGTCTGTCTGTCTGTCTGTCTGTCTGTCTGTCTGTCTGTCTATCTACCTACCTACCTATCTACCTACCTACCTATCTACCTATCATATCTATCTACCTCACAGCTTGTTTATCTATTCGTCCATTGACACTTGTTTCCATATCTTGGCAATTGTGAATAATGCTGCAATCAACATGGGAATGCCGATATCTTTCTGAGGTCCTGTTTTCATTTCCTTTGGATATGTATATCCAGAAGTGGGATTTCTGGATCATATGGTAGTTTTAATTTTTTGAGGGACCACTGTACTGTTTTCCATAGTGGCTGCACCAATTTACGTTCCCATCAACAGTGCACAAAGAGTTCCCTTTTCTCCACATCTTCTCCAGCTCTTGTTATCTTTTGACTTTTTAGATGATGGCCATTCTAATGGGTGTGAAGTGGTATCTCATTGTGGTTTTGATTTACATTCACCTGATAATTAGTGATATGGAGCACCTTTTCATGTGCCTATTGGCTATTTGTGTGTCTTCTTTGGAAAAATGTCTTCAGTTCCTCCTCCCATTTTTAAAATCGGATTGTTTGGGGTTTTTTTGCTATTGAGTTTTATGAGTTATTTATAGATTTTGGATATTAACCCCTTCTCAGATATATTAGTTACAAATACTTTCTCCCATTTTTTATTAGTTACAAATACAACTCCCATAAGTTGCCTTTTCATTTTGTTGATTATTCTTTTTGCTGTGCAGAAGCTTTGATGTAGTCCCACTTATGTATTTTTCCATTTGTTGTATATGTTTTTGGTGTCAGATCCAAAAAATTTTTGCCAGACTAATGTCAAGGAACTTTTATGTTTTCTTCTAGGAATTTTACCATTTCATGTCTTATGTTTAAGTCTTTAATCCATTTCAAGTTAATTTTTGTGAGTGGTATAAGATAGGGGTCCAGTTTCATTCTTTTGCACCTGTTTATCCAGTTATCCCAATACTATTCATTGAAGAAACTATCTTTCCCCATTGAGTATCCTTGGTTCCTTTGTCAAATGTTAGTTGACACTTTATGCGAGGGTTTTTTTTCTGGCCCTTGATTCTGTTCCATTGGTTTTTGTGTCTATTTTTTCTGTTTTCTCTGGTAACAAATTAACTTCAATC